CCCTGCCAACTTGACATGGATGAAGAGTTTACCATGAGGAAGATGTTTTACTTCCTCCCCAGAAGCCCACTGACCCAATTAAAGAGGACAATTGCACAACCATAATGGATATTCAGCTGATTATATTACAAAGCATAATGATTATGTATTATGCATCCTTAGAAACCTCTTGGATGTGTAAAACCTTTTCTGTAGAGAGAGCAGGAGTCTGCAACTCCTCATGCATGGGTTTGGATTTTATTCCACATGCAACCAGTATTGTAATAAATACAATGTATTAATTTTTTTATTATTAATAATACTATTAATTAATAACTAATAACAATACTATTTATCACTATTTATTACTGCTTATTTATTACTTCTTTTCAACTTTAATTAGTTGAAGAGTTGTCTGTCCATGCTTCACTGGCCCTCAGTCTGCAGCCTGCTCTGCTGCTCCTGGGACCTTCACACCCTGTCACTGCTGTCACCTGTGTCCCTTGTGCTGCTCCCCAGCCCAGCTGTTCCCTCACACCCTGCAGATGTGTTCTGAGAGCTGGAGCTCCTCTGCTCTGGAGCCAGGCTGGGACAACTGGGGGTGCTCACCTGGATGGGAGAAGGATCCAGGGAGAGCTCAGAGCCCCTGCAGGGCCTGAAGGGGCTCCAGGAGAGCTGCAGAGGGACTGGGGACAGGGATGGAGGGACAGGAGCCAGGGAATGGCTCCCAGTGCCAGAGGGCAGGGCTGGATGGGATATTGGCAATGAGGAATTGTTCCCTGGCAGGGTGGGCAGGCCCTGGCACAGGGTGCCCACCCTGGATCCCTGGCAGTGCCCAAGGCCAGGCTGGACATTGGGGTTGGAGCAACCTAGGACAGTGGGAGGTGTCCCTGCCCATGGAATGAGCTGGCCCTGAGCATCCCTTCCCACCCAAATCACTCTATCACTTGCTGAATCCATCTCTGCTCACTGCCCTCCAGCCCATTCCCCGCTCCACCTTTTCCTCTTCACCACATTCGGCAGAAAAAAAAAGACAAACACCAGTAAAAGGTGTGGAAAATTTTATTCTTTACTGAACTTTATTAGTTTTCTGTTTGGCTTAAACACAATAAATATTTCAGCAGTAGCATTGAACAGACTGGAATTCACACCCACTGCAGTACCTGAACCCCCAGACTCTGGACTCTGGGAAAGCCATCGGGGCCCCTGGGATCACAGCACCTCACTGGGGGCCACTGCCAGCACCAGTGTCCCCTTCAGCCCAAGGGACAGGAGCAGGAACGTGTCCCTGCTGGCAGGGAGGGATGGGGGCAGTTCTGAGGTCTCCAACCAGCTCTGACCCAATGGGCTCTGTGGGTGCTCTGGGCTGAGGCAAATTAGCCCAAAAACTTCTGCTCCTGGGGCAGGGATGGATGGCCCAGCCAATTCCTTGGAGACCAGTCTGGGGACTTCTCCAGCCAGGTCTGACCACACCTGGATGGGCCAGAGGGTCTTTTCCATAAGCAAAAAGATCAGCATAGCTCCCATTGTCACCATGGAATCACTGGGGTTGGAAAAGCCCTCTGAGCCCATCAAGTCCAACCATTCTCAGCACAACCAAGGCCAAAGTGCTGTCCCATGTCCCCTGGTGCCACATCTATAGGGCTTTTAAATCCCTCCACGGATGGGGGCTCCACCCCTGCCCTGCACAGCTGTGCCAGGGATGGACAGCCCTTTCCATGAAGGAATTGTTCCCAATATCCAACCTGAACTTCCCCTGGCACAGCTTGAGGCCATTTCCCCTTGTCCTGTCCTTGTCCCACCAAGAGCAGCCTCTGTGTCACCTCAGCCACTGCTCTGACACAGCTCAGAGGTAGAGGTGGGCAAAACCAGGAGGAGCCAAGGCTGGTTTCCCAAAAACACCCCTTCCCTAGGGACTTTCCAGCTCTGTCAGAAGCAGGCATGGATGCTTTCAGGGAAGAGTTCAGGGCCCTCACTGGACCAAACCAGCTCTGACTCCCAGCTGCAGATCCTTGACAGGCCAGAAGGTGACACCAGGCCAGCTCTGTTTAAGGAGCTTAAAGATGTTCCCAGAGCCTCGGGAGCTCCCACTTCCAGTGCACTGCTGCCAGCTCTGGCAAAGCCTTGGGGCAGGGGGATATGAGGAGAGGCAGCTGTGACCAACCAGGGCCTCCAGGAGAGCTGGAGAGAGGGACAGGACCCAGGGAATGGCTCCCACTGCCAGAGGGCAGGGCTGGATGGGATATTGGGAATGAGGAACTGTGCCCTGGCAGGGTGGGCAGGCCTTGGCACAGGGTGCCCAGAGCAGCTGTGGCTGCCCCTGGATCCCTGGAAGGGTTCCAGGCTTGGAGCAACCTATCCCTGGAAAAAGAGACAACACAGCTCAGCTCTGGGCCACCAGGCAGGAGGAGCTGAGGAGCCAGGGCCTGCCCTCTCCATCCCCAGGAGCACAGCCCATGGCAAGGACAGAGCCCAGCCAGTGACCACCAGCACAGAACATCCCCCTCAGGGGCTGTTACCCAGGAACACTTTAATACTTAACACCCAAACCCATGGTGGGCAATAGCAGAGTTGGTTCTCAGCTGCCACACAGGGTTTGGTCTCTATTTGTTTCTATTCCCCTCTCAGAATCCAGGGGCAGAAATCCCTGGATTTCTAAGAGCAAAGGAGAACTCCCCTCCCCAGCAGTTGCCTGGGCACTGGGATGGGCTCTGCCCCATCCCTGTCCCCACCAGGCACAAGCCAGCCCAAACCCCAGTGCTGATTTAAGGAGATTTTTTTTTCTACTTTCAAGGTGCAATAAATTAAGGCACCAAAGAGCCAGAACTCCCCCAAGATAAAGCCTGTGCAGAGGAAGCAGTTCCAGTTTTGGAGAGGGATGTTCTTCCTATACACCAAGACTTAAGCTCAGACAACTCCTCCCAGCCTCAGCAGCATCCCAGTCCCCAGGGGCCAGTGATGGCCATGGGAAGAGACAGGACAAGGCAAGTGCCAGGTTTGGGAGCCCAGAGTTCAGCTGGAAGCCTGAGGGAACAGCTCAGTTCTTCCCTGCTTGGGCAAACACAAAACTAGACAGAAAATCATCCAACATACACATTTTTCAGTGTTGCCAGCCCAGCTCTGCTATCTGAACAAGTCCCACAGGAAGCTGTGTCCCAGCTGAAGATTCCCTCTTATTCCTGTGCGAGCAGGACTTAAATTTATCTCCATAATTCTATTTCATTAAATAGCAGGATTCAAAAACTCAGGTGCAGCCCAAGTCATTTATCCATGGAGGGTTTGTTTTTTTTTTCTGTACAACATGAGTAAAATGGATTGGAGGAAGCTACTTTATTAAATAAACTCCAAAAGCCATCAGCCCCCTCTCCCAGCCCCGCTGCAGCCACAGGGACACGTGAGATCCAGAGCCTCCCACGAGGGATGGCAGCCCTGGGAAGGGCCCAGTTTGCTCCTCACAGGCTGCACTGTGACCAGGGGCTGACCAGGGGTGACCAAGACTGACCAAGGGCTGACCAGGGGCTGCCCAAGCAACCCGTGAAGTCACGAGCTCAACCTCAGGGCTTCCAGTCTTGGCATGACAGTGATTCCATTTCCAAAAGAAAAAGCATTAAATAGCAGTTACACGTTGAAGGCTTCCCAGAGCAGGAAGAGGCTTCCCCTGCAGAAGGAAATTGCTCTGACCAAGCTGTCAGATGCCCCACGTTGCACAACAATCAGTGTCTGAAGGAATTTGTTCCCATGGTAGTTCCACCTGCATGATTGGCTGTGCTTGTTCTCTTCCGGATGCAGCCTTTCCAGAGCCTGGGTTTAAGCTACACTCTTCATTCAAGCACAGGTCTTCATTGAATCAAGCCAACAGGAAAGAAAATCAGCATTCAGTCTTCACCACCCCACTCAAAGAAGTCAATTATAAAAACAAATTAAAAAATAAAATCAACGCAAACACATCTCTGACAAGTGGACAGTAAACGAAGAGATGCCTGGATGAGACACACGGGTGCTGGGGACAAAGAGAGGGAGATCTGAAAGGTTCCCCACCCCTGGGAGCATCCTGAAGGTGCACACACGACCAACACAGGGCTTCAGGTGCTTCTCCCAGCGGTGGAATTGCAGTTGGGAAGGGCCAGGCTGTTCCTGGCTGTGGAAAAGGGGCTCAGGCAGCAGGAAAGGACCCACAGAGCCAACCCATGACAGCAAATCCATGATGGTAGGAATGAGGAGAGCTTGGCTCTGTAGTCTCAGCCACCTTCCATAGCCCAGACCCCATTCCCAGACTGGGAACACACATGGACACACTCAGGAACGTGTCAAATGTGGTCCCAGGTACCACACAACGTGCAGAAACCACTTTCCCACTCCTATGGGAAACTGAGCCCTGATTTTCCAAGCCCCCCATTTAGGATTGAACCACAAGCTTTGAGTGTCTTTTTTCCTCCCCTTAAAAAAAAAAAAAAGAAAAAGACAACAAAGGTGCTAGCAAGTGTTTGCCCAAAAGCAGGAAGGCAGGACAGAATGTGGGAGAACTGTCACCATCTGCTCCCAAAGTACCAGCCCAGCACAGGGGCTGTCCAGACAGCAGCACAGGGGACAGCCAGGAACTACTCCCACCACCGGGATGTCCCCCTGCCCTTGGAGGAATCAGCTGTGCTGCTTTTGGTGTCAGGCCAAGATGCTTTGCTCAGGTAAAGCCTTTGCATCCCCAAGCAGCTTTCCCTGAGCAAGGGCCGGAGTCAGAGGCTTCTCTGGGAACATTCAGCTGGTCTAAGGTACAGTAACAGCGACCTGAAAAGGCTCCTCCTCCTCCAGCTCCACCCAAAACCCGAAGCTCGCAGGGATGGAAGAGCAGCAGGAGCCGCCCCGGCCCGGCCCCGCCCCGGCTGCAGCGGATCCCGCGTGTCCTTGGCCCTGTCCAGAGGATAGTTTGATCTGTGGTGATGGCTGAAGTATTTACAGGTATTTGCAGCAGGTATTTACAGTCCTTCTGCAGCCCGCAGGCCGATTTTCTCCTCCTCTGCTCCCAGTCAGTCCGGAGTGGGCTTCCGTAGGGAGAAGGGCCGGATGTTGAAGTGCCGGCTCAGCTGGCTCACCTGGGGAAGGCAGACACGGGATTGGGTTATCCTGGATCCAGGGGGTTATCCCGGCTCCCAGGCATGAGCAGCAGAGCAGGCAGAGCCCCAGACCTGCTCCTTGTTCCCACCAAGCCCCTGCCAGCCACTGTGCCCAGCCCACCCCTGCCCATCCCTGTCCCAGGCACTGGTTCCTCAGGGAACAGCCCTGCTCCCTTCCCAACCTTCCCAAACAACACCTGGGAGCAGGCTCACCCTCTGCTTTTCCCCTCCACAGGGGCAGGAGTTGGGAATGCTGAGCCCAGACCAGCAGGATTTTACCCTCCTCCTTCATTATTCTGTTTAAATTCATTAGATCATCTCAGCTATCTCTATAAAATATTCCTGAATCCATTCAAAGTCAGAGCTGGATAATTTACTGCCTGCAAAAGGAGGCTGAGCTTGACACAGTCAGGGCAGAGGCTTTAATCCTAATCATTCTCCCCAAATTCAGAGCAGTTTGGGATTAAGCCCCAATCCCAAAGCCTTTAAAGACTCTTCAGCTCAAAGTGAAGAGGAGCTGGCACAGATGGGCCCTTGGAAAGGCAGAGGGAGGGAAAGAGGGAGCAGAGAGGAGCAGAGCACTGGGAATCTCCCAGGAGGGCATGGGCAGGAGGATTACACCACCAGCTCAGCCCCATCTCCAGCTGTGATTCCAAGACCAAATTTATTTAAGCTTCTTAGTAATTCAAATCCTTCTTGCCCAGAAGCCTCATTACACTAATTGGAAAGACAAGGCAACCTGGCTATTACTCCTTGGCTGTAATTACAGCTGGGACATGACTCCATGGGCTCTGGGGTGGAACTGGGGCTCCCAGGGGAAGGGGCTTCCCAAGGAGGGTGTCCCCACTTCAGCTGGGACACGAGGCCCCTTGTCCTCCTTCCTCAGCAGCTTCCCAGTGGGACTCTGGGCTTCTCCAAGTTTGTTCTCTCTGTTAATCCAAACAAGGAGGAGGAAACCAATCCCTGGATCTGTGCACAGATGGACAGGAGGAAGGGAGGCCCTGGAGCTGCTGTGTTCCCACTTCCCCCAGCAGCAAAATCCCCACTCCAGCCTGGCTCTCCCAGCACCTTGGAGACCTCAGTGGGAGACTCAGAACCCCTTGCAAGGCCTAAAGGGGCTCCAGGAGAGCTGGAGAAGAACTGGGGACAAGGCATGGAGGGACAGGAGCCAGGGAATGGCTCCCAGTGCCAGAGGGCAGGGCTGGATGGGATATTGGCAATTAGGAATTGTGCCCTGGCAGGGTGGGGAGGGGCTGGGATGGAATTCCCAGAGCAGCTGGGGCTGCCCCTGGATCCCTGGCAGTCTCCCAGGCCAGGTTGGACACTGGGGTTGGAGCACCCTGGAACAGTGGAATGTGTCCCTGCCATGGCAGGGGTGGCACTGGATGGGCTCTGAGGTCCCTCCCAGCCCAAATTCCAGGATTTTGTGCTTGGTTTTCCACTCATCTGACACACCCCAGGGGAAAGACAGCCCCTGCCACATCCTGTGCAGCTCCTTTCAACTCCATGCAACCTCCCCAAGCCTCCCACAAGGAATCCACCCCAAATCCCACAAGCTCACAGAACCATTCCCAGCCATATTCCCAGTTTCACACAGAGCACTCCCTGCCCCAAGCAGCAGCACTCCCAGCCACAGCCCAGCCCCAGGAGGTGTCACCTACCACGACCACTCCGTAGTGGATGTGTGCCAGGGTGAGGAAGGCTGTCAGCAGGTACAGCAGGAGCGTTTCACTGCCTGGAGCCAGCCCAGACACCACCAGGAGCAGCACGGCCGCGATGGGCAGCAGCATCCAGTTGAGGGGCTGGCACCGTGTGCTGCTCATCTGGCACACGATCAGCTGGCACTGAGGGGACAGGGACAGAGCCTGAGCCTGCTGTGGGCTCTGGGAGCAACAGATGTTTGTCCCCAGAGCAGAGGGGATGGTCACTTGTGTGATCTGTGACACTGTCCCCTGTGCTGGCACTGCTGGGGCACC